GGACAGGGAAGCAGGGTGCAAAGCGGCCAGCACAGCTGCCGGGGCACTGGAGTGGAAGCAGGCTGGAACCAGGGTGGAACCTGCGCGGCCCAGGACCTTGGGGGCGGCGCGGGGCGCCGCGGACGCATGGGGGTGACTTGGTGTGCCGGGACTGAGTGTGTTGGATGCGCGCGCGCACCCGGGGGTACCCATGAGCGCCCGTTCCAGCCGCATGCGCGCAGCGAGATCACGCGCGCACATCAGCACGGCGGGGTGCCGCCGACCCTGCTCACCGGCGGCTTGAACTTCTTGGACGGCCCCGCATCTGGCGCGCGCTCCCGAGCTCCACGCAACAGGTGCTGCGGCAGCGCCGGCGCGGCTTCATCGGCCGATGCAGCGCTCGGCCGCATGGCGGCGCCGGGCCGCTCCGGCTGCGGCGGGCTAGGACGCATCGCACACGCGTTTGGCTCGCCTCCTCCGGCCCTGGTAAACTACGCGGAGCCTGAGCACTCCCTAGGCCTGCTTCAGCACTCGGTCTGACTCGGGCGCAGCCCCTCCGACGAGCGTCACACTAGCACCGCGTGCAAAGCTGGCCTGCACCTCCGAGTCCCTCGAAGCCTCCAGTTGATGCAATGATCACGGTTGTCAGCGAGCAACGAGCCCGAGCTGGCATGGCCTGCCGATGATGAATTGCCGAGGGGGCAAAGACGAGCTGCTTGACTTCGAAAACAGGAGCTTGTACCTGAAAGCGAAGCAGTTGTGTCGATCGAGCTTGCCGCTTCGTGCCAATGAGAGTTACAAGGGGGGTAATCGCTCGACCCCGATTGCAGGAGGACAATCAAGGCGTTGCTGTACACAAAGGTTGTGGTTTTATAATCAGAGGTTTCTTCGCACGTTTGGCAACACACGATTCCGATCTCACGGCGTTGGGCGTGGGTGTTGGCCGTGTGAGGGACTGCCGCCGTGTCTCGCAGTGCTGAATATCGTGGTTAGTCTGATTCTGATACCAATAACCTTAGCCGAGGAAAAGGATGGGGACCGGCTTCCCAGCCACCTTCAGCATCATGGGACCTTGGTGTCACCGAGCGACCCTTGACCCGGCGGGCCGACCGTCACTGCGCAATGGCTGCGTTCATGATTACGGGCTGAACCCCCGACCAGGGTGTGACAAGGAGTATGCCTGGAGTAAGAGCGGCCTCAAGTGCCCTCACTGCTGGGCCCAGCATGTGATGAGCGGCAACTCGCCGTCATGTTACGGATTGACTTCAAGGGTCGCGTTTGATCACTGAGACGAAATCAAGCGCCCCTTGGAAGAGCAAGGCACCAGTGCTTGAAGGATCAGCGTAAAGAAGGCTGTAGGGCTAGCAGCTTCAGGGAATGCGTAGCCGATGGGGCAGGACCACTGCTCCACGACCCCAGGGCCGGGACCAGGCCAGCTAGCTGCGATCGCTTGCGTGTGGGCAACTGGAATAAGGCCGAAAGTACAGACGGCACAGTGACATAAATGATTCTGGGCGGTGTGACTCTTGCGTGAGGGGCAGGGAGGGGCCCCACGAGCAATGCGCCATCCCGGCGCGCTGCTGCGTTCGCAGGTGGATGCCCGCAGCGGGCGAGACCTCTTTGCAGATGCCGACTGCAGTTAGGGTTTTCTTTGAAAGAGTGGCTGCTGTTGCTCTGGATGGTCGCTGCAGCTCCACACCTGTGTCAAACTCAGCGATCACACTCTGCGGATTTGCAACGCCCAAGCCGCAGTGAGGCTCGAAAGCCCCCAATGACATGCAGCAGGTGCGCTAATCAGGAGATTGAGGGTAAGGGCTCCACGGCAACACCTGCTGCTTGGCACGTTGGTACTCCGGGCGAGAGCCAAGTACACCAAACAGTGAGATTGACACTCTCGCGCAACCGCCTCCAGGCATGGTGCATTGCAGAAAGCCACACCAGATCTGCTGCGCCAACAGCAGCACCCTTGCCGCGCTGGCAGTGGATCAGCAGACACTTCACACTTGTTGGGCAGATACCGTTCCATATAACAGGTTGTCAATTGCGGGGAAAAAAGAACTTGTAAAATCTCCCTGGTTGAGCTGGACGGTGCCCATATTCAGCTGGCTCCACAACAGATCGCGTTGAGCCGCCCTATATCGGCTCATTTGTGCGTCAGTTTCGTGGTATAAAAGACTGCAATACAAACACCTTAAAATCGTTTGGACGTCGTGCTGCTGCAGGGTGGCGCAATGCAGCAGCGGGTGTGTGCCGCTTCATCGGCGCCGGGTGCCAGGCTGCAGCTTCGACGTCGAGCCTCCACCTGCGGCCCTTGCACCCGCCGCCCTGGGTCCAGTGCAGCGGCGGCAAATTTTAGCAGCAGCACGGACTCAGCAAATGGCTCCGCAGGCGACTGCGGGCCTGGGTGTGAGCAGCGGTGGCTTGCTGTGTCCCCTTTGACTTCACAGGACGACGCCCCTGCACCCTCTGCAACCGAGGGGTGCACCAGCAACAACGGCAGCATCAGACGCAGCAGCAGCGGCAGCGCCAGCGCCGCGGCCGCGGTGCCCGCGCGGCGCGACGGCGACCCGAGGGAGCGCGCCGGCAAGCAGCGCATGGCATCGCACGCCAAGCGCGGGGTGGTTTCCCTATCAAAGTCGTGGGCCGCGCTGTCATCGGGCGCGGCTGATGTGGCGCGCTTCTGCGGCGACAGGCAGATCACCCCGCCGGCCGCGGCGGCGGCGCGGGAGCGGCGGGACCGCGGTGGCGATGACGGCGCGGGGTGCGCACGCATGGCGGGGTGCGGATGCCGGGGGGAACAAAACACTAAGCTCACCCGTCTGGTCGCACCTCAGCAGCGAGGTGCAGCTGCATGCACAAACCACCTCATCCGCCATGGCTTTGCCACTCGCGCCCGCC